CCCCATACACAGTAAAAAAACCTACCCCTGCACATATAAAAAAAATAACTACCCCATCATATATATATTTTTTTAAAAGCTACCCCTGCACATATCAAAAAAAAAATACTACCCATTCCCCCACATATAAAATAATAAAACACCCCCCCACCGCACATGCACATATAAAATAAAATACACAGCCCCCTCTCCTGCTTACCTTTTTGAAGGGAGGAGGCAGATCGATGATCCCTGGTGCTCTGGTGGTGGTTAGTGAGGTCTGCTGCATACCTTACTAATGCATCCTTTCGGCCGGGCCTTAGAACTGAGCTGCGGCTGAAAGGATCTCAGTGCCGGGAGGAGCAGCTCTGCGGTCTGCATCCGATAGAGATGCAGACCATGTAGCTGCTCCTGCATGTCAGGTATGCGGAGCGTGACAGCTTACCTGACTTGTCACCTGCCTGCGGGCCACATAGTGCGGGCTGCAGGTGGTTCGCGGGCCGATACTTTGAAACGGGTGTTTTGGCGCAGGACACCAGGATGATAACGCAATGTCCTGGTTAAGGTGGAAGGCAAAGTCAACCTTGGAGAAAAGAAAGCCTTGAGCCACAGCACAACCTTTATCGGTTTAGATGACCAGCTGCTAACTCAAACACATCTAGCAGAACTGATGGCTAGGAGAAGCCACTTTGCAAGTAAGCAAAAGCCACCTGACGTTTAATGCCTCCTTGATGGTTGATGTAAGCTGTGGCGTTGCCTGACTTTATCCTGGTCAGATGATTCTGCAATAGGGCGATCCAGTGTTTGAAGAGAGAACTGAATTACTCTGAGCTCCAGGGTTTATCAGAAGGTGCAATTCTTCTGACCACCAGATCCCCTGGGCCCTCCAGGACTCCATCCCAGCTTGTCAGGCTAGCATAAGTCGTGAGCGCTTTCCAAGACAACAGAAGGAAGGGCTGCCCTAAATCCAGTGCCATACTTGATATCCATCACACCAGGTAAAGTTTTGTGTTGCTGGGTAAATGAATAGGGATGTATCTGGATCAAACCGTTTTGTCCCACACAGCTAGGATGCTATGCTGCAACAGCCTGGGGTAGGAAAAAAAAGAGCATATGAAACACCCCCGAAGAAGGCTACCTCAAACCCCTTTCATGTAAAAGCAAATGGCAGGACACTTCGTGGACATAGGGTCAAAATGTGGCAGCAGAGAGATAGCAACTTCCTCTGTGGCAGGAAGACCCTGGACAGACCAGACCAGGCCTTGGTACTTGAAGCGATGAAGGGTTCTAGTTCTGATTTCCTGGAGGTTCAGGATCTAACTGAAGCTCTGAAGAGTCTGTATTGTACAACGAATGTTGAACAACAAGGCTGACAGACTATTCCCTGAGGGGCAGACTGACCACACTATAGGGGACCCCTGGGAGAGCAGCCCAGTCAGGACAGTGGCCAGCACCTTGGTGAAAACCCCATGTGCTGTGAAAGACCGAAGGGAAGAGCAACAAATTGAAAATGCAGGTGTTGATGGGCAGGGACAATAGGGATGCATAAATCTGCATACTTGGTGTCCACCAAGGACAAGAAATCTCCCAGATTAAGGGAGGCAATAACAGATTGCATAGACTCCATTCTGAATCCACAGGAAACTGTTATGGATCCTTAGATCTACTATAAATGTCCAAGGACCTGTAGCACTCCTTACCTGACTTCCCATGTGGAGATGTGGGTGCTCGCAATGACTACGGATGGCGCCGCATCAGATATAATCGTTG